ATTGCTGACTTAAGCATCGGAGTGTCTACCCCGAGTTTCACCTCGGGGCTTTGCAGGTCATTCCGAAGTGCAAGCGCGGACTGAAGAAGGACTTCTGGTTTGGTGTAATTACAGTGTCTGAAAACCTTATCTCCTCTTATGCCCTTGTCTAGGAATGTTTAAAGTTTTTTTATTTTATTTTATTTTATTTTAAAGTTTAAAGTTATTTTAATATTTCCACACATCAATTTTGTAACAAAGAAAAGGTCCTTCTTTTTTTTTTTGGCCTTAACAAAAAAAAAAAAGGCTTAAAAGTTGAAATTCATAGCTTATTCCCCTCTACACAATTCACCATAAATAATCATTTTTTCCACCTTTTTACTGAAAAAGTTTCCTCAAATTTTTCTTAGTAAAGATCTATTTAATAATTTTTCCCCATCTTTTTTAAACATTAAATTTTTTCCAAATGTAAACAAATTAACAATTTCAAAAAACTTTATCTCAGAAATACGAACTTCCTTACTTATTAATTTCAATTGCTTTCTCAAAAAAAATTTCTTAGAAAGAGTGTTGTTTCTGTGTACGGTCGTTTTTGCCGGGAAAAACTACTTGGTATCTATTTGTCACTGACCATAACGTTTATGGACTTATCGTTTCATTTATCGTACATGTTATCCTTCCATATGCATTTTTCAAAAGGTCAAGGTTTTTCTTTTTCAAAAACAGTCCCTCTTCCCGACTTCAGCTAAAATCAACTTTTAACCCCTCATTTTATAAAATTGATAGATTTTAATCTCTAACTTTATAATATAAAATTTTTAGTCCTTTACCTTATTGGTAGGTTTTAACCTCTCACCTTACAAAATTGATAGGTTTTAATCCCTCACCTTATATTATAACACTTTTAGCCTCTTATTTATACGAATTAAAGAAAATAATGCTCATTTAATATTAGGTTACAATGTTTTGTTAGTTCTGTTACTTGACTGTTAGTTTTGTTAGTTGACTGTCAGTTCTGTTAGCTGATTGTCAGTATCTATTAGCTGACTGTTAGTATCCGTTAACATTCCATTAATTGAACTAACAAATAAAATTGAATTTAAATTTTATGTTTTTAATAATAAAATATTAACGAATGTTAACAGTCAACTAACAGAACTAACAGAATGTTATAATCTAATATTAGGTGATAGTTATTTTCTTCAATTCGGATAGGTAAGAAGTTAAAAATGTCATAATATAAGATAAGGGATTAAAATTTATTAATTTTGTAAGTTAAAAAGTTAAATTTATCAAATTTGTAAAGTAAAAGAGTAAAAATATGATATTATAATTTATAATATAATAAGACGAAGGGTTAATCGGTAAGGCGCTCAATGTTGGTTTTTGCCTCCCGACTTCACACCCTCCAGAGCTTACTAGCCTAGCGGGAAGGCCGACGCACATGGAGAATCAAAGCAGTAGCTCAAGCTCGTCGACGATGATCCTCCACAACGCCCTGATTGTCACCATGGACGCCGAAAGCCGAGTGTTTCGGAACGGCGCGATCGTCATCGAGCACGAAGAAATCAAAGCCATTGGACACTCTCCTCAAATCCTTCAACAATTCTCGGATTCCGACCACCAGAGTGTCGATCTCCGCGGCCAAATCTTGCTTCCCGGTCACCTCCTTTCTTTCCACTGTTATTTTTCTCGGAATATTCTGTTTGGTTCCCGAGAAACTTGATTTTGACTATTGTTCTCTAGCTGCTCTACAATTTTGAAGTTACATACGATAGTCAATGCTTAGAATATGTGTTTGGGATGTAAGTAAAGGACTACAAAACTGCTGGGATGATGTTACCTTAATTACCAGAAGAAAAAGGAAAATGCGGGTCTTAGATTGAATTATTTGTACTCTTTGTTTTTCCCTGATTAATTTCTTGAAAATAAAGCATAAATGGGATAAAAATTTTTGCTGAAAATAATCTCTGTGATATCAGTATCACTCAATTTGATAATATCTGTTAAGCTTTAAAAATGTTCGATTTAACTTGTACAGGATTCATCAATACACACGTCCACACATCACAGCAGCTAGGTAGGGGAATAGCTGATGATGTTGATCTGATGACATGGTTGCATAATCGCATTTGGCCTTATGAGTCCAACATGACTGAGGAGGATTCATACATCTCCACTCTTCTTTGTGGAATCGAACTTATTCACTCTGGTGTAAGCAGTTATGATTATGTTCACTGCCTTTGTCATTTGCATCTTGTTTTCCTTGTTTTTGGTTGCTATTGGTTGTGTGATTTATTATTATTTTTGTGATTATTTGGAATAGGTCACCTGCTTTGCTGAAGCAGGAGGGCAGCATGTTGCTGGAATGGCAAGAGCAGTTGAGTTGCTGGGATTGCGAGCGTGCTTAGCACAGTCAATTATGGACAGTGGTGAAGGTTTGCCAGCATCTTGGGCTGTTCGAACCACAGATGACTGTATCCAGGTTCAGCATTACCTGATTTACTTTACTTGACTAGAAAATTGTTTGAGAATTCCTTGATGTGCTATTATGTTTTGTTGGTGTTTGGTTTATAGATGCTGTGATCTATGTAACTAGTAAATATGATATTGAGTTTTAAGCTCAAGAAACTACTGAATGTTTACACAATCTTGCTTCAAGAGAGAATTTGCGATTTGGAAGGGTTCCACATGGATAACACCTTTGGGATTCTTGAGGAATTTCCCTTTGAAAGCCTAATTATGGAGCTTATCATATTTGTTTAGTTTCTATGCATATCGCAGACTATGAGGAAAATAATGTGTTAATACAACCTTGGAGGCTGAAGGATATCCTATGTGTGAATTGTTGAATTTTATGCCCAGTTTACATTCACTTGAAATTATTTTAAACTTACCCCATTAACTTATTCCAGAATCTGAATTTTTATTACAACCATTTTGTATTGTTTTGCATCCATATTTGATTAACTATTCTCTTTCAGATTCAAGCCATATTTCAATTGACTGAGATTCACATTTTTCTTTAAGGGAACAGTTTCAAAAGGGGCTTTATGAGAAGCACCACAATACAGCAGATGGCCGCATTAGAGTATGGCTTGGAATTAGGCAAATTATGAACTCAACTGATCATTTACTGGTCAAAACAAGAGATATGGCCAAAGAACTGAAAACTGGGATCCATATGGTATGTAATATGGTCTCTCTCCCTCCTTACAATTGTGCATGCCTGCAAACCCTTCAAATATTGTTTTTATCAATAGTGGATTGAGCATATTGAGCTTGTTAGTCCGTGGCTAGTTGAGCCTGCCAGTGAACCTTCAGCAATTTAATTTCTTGGCCCAAGCCTGTTTTTTTTTTTTTCATTTGTTTGAAATTTATCATTCCTAGTTAAAAAAAATGACATGGAAGGCATCTAAGGTAACTTAAATGTATTGCAAGGATTTTTTTGGTAGGCAGTATATAGTAAGGATTAAAACAATATAGTCAGAATTCGGTAATTTATTGTTAGATTTGTATCTTATCCTAAGTTAGGGGTGCTATATAGGTGAACTGGACCACCTTTTGCTGTTTAGTGTTACATCGTCCTTTCTCTCTCTTCCTTATTGCAAAATATAGTAACTTAAATTCCAAGTTTTTCTAATTGGATTTTTGAAAGATCCTTTAGATTTATATGGTTTGATTTTAGATGCTTCCATATGAAGTCAAATTATTTAGGCTATGCTTTGTGATAGAGAAGTCAGAAGTGTTGGTTTTGGAGTAATTTTAGCTGATCTTCCCAATGTGTAGCATGTTGCAGAGATACCCTACGAAAACGATCTTGTGATGGAAACTCGAAAAGTTGATCATGGGACAGTTACTTTCTTGAACAAGATAGACTTTCTGCAGGACAACTTGCTGGCAGCTCATACAGTTTGGGTCAATAACACTGAGGTGAATTACTTCTTCTAATTTGTATTCTGTTTTACTAAAATATATTTGAATTGCATTTCTTGGTTTTTACCCTTCTAATAGCATACATAAGCACTTTTCTGATACTAAAGAGCTTATTTAGAGCTGCTTTAAATGTATAAATTTGCATCTACTAGTCATGAATTCATGGAGCATGTCTAAGTTTTCCTCAGACCTGACTGTTGTCAATCGTTGTGCAAAGTACGGTTAATGTATAACTACCTGCATCTATTAGAAGTCAGACAGATTCATCTTGGCATAAGCTATCATTAGTGCTTGACTGCTTGTTTCTGCAAAGTTAAATGGTTTGTAAAGTATTTCCTCAATTATAACATTACACTTTTTTTTCTTTCTTCTTTTGAATGGGTGGGGAGAGGCGGGTAAAGTTGGTTTAACCTTAAGTGTTTTTGAATTGCGCATGGTATTCTGGATGTAAATAATTAGAAAAGGCTTTCAGCATTCATTATTGGAGGGATCCTGACCAGATATATGTGAAGATATTATGTATGCTATGCAGCTGGAACTTGTAGATGGTGAACTGCTTACAACTTTCTCTCTTTCTTTTTTTTTTTTTTTTTTTTTTTTTTTTTTAAGCTATAAATTCTGATGTTCATAAGACATTTATAATTCGTTTGTTTTTTCAGTTTTGTCCTGATATTTATCTGTCATTCAATGGGAATTGATTAGATGATTGGTTGGTGTGGGAAATCTTTTGGAATTTACAATTACATGCCAAATGAGAAATTTGAATTAGGCATTCTTACTGATCATCATAGATATTCCTTGTTTAATTGGCTATTCTATATCATGAATATCTAAATGCATTTTATGCATCACTTGTGACTTCTTACAGTATGAACCACAAATTTCTTCATCTTTCTTTATTTTGAAGAAGCACTACATGTATCCATACTTTTGCCTCTGGATAATTCTCTTTCCTTTTTTTTCTTGTGTTAATGGTTGATCATGTCTCCATCAGATTGATCTTCTTTCAAGAGCAGGTGTCAAAGTTTCTCATTGCCCTGCTGCTGCAATGCGTATGCTTGGATTTTGCCCTGTAAGGGAGATGCTCAATGCTGGCATCTGTGTCTCTTTGGGCACAGATGGTGCACCATCAAATAATAGGATGAGCATTGGTTGGTTTGACTTCTCAGTCTGTATTTCTCATCCATTCTCATATTCCCTCTCTTTTGAAACACAAGCGTGCTCCATTTTGTACAATATTTATCAGCATCTTTAGGGTTTGCCTGTAGAACCTAGTTCTAAATGTTGTTTCTTGGTATATTTTTAAGTATATGTAGGTAAATATTCTGATAAGAACCTGTTTCAAGGGTTTTAAATGGTGCTGGTGGTTAAAAGATATATATGGATTTTTGTCTTTGCAGTCGATGAGATGTATCTGGCTTCTCTAATCAACAAAGGACGGGAAGTCTATGCAAATGGAACAACTGATCCCACAGCTCTTCCTGCAGAAACAGTTCTAAAAATGGCAACAATAAATGGTGCGAAATCAGTACTCTGGGACAATGAAATAGGGTCCCTTGAGGTGGGAAAAAAGGTTAGACTTCTGGGACTTCTTTGTTTCTCTTCTTCTTTCAGATGCCTGAATTTGATAAGATAGTTACTCATCCAGTCTTCCATTTTTAATTAATTCTTATTTCTCCTCAGAATTGTCTATATCACATAAATCCATGAAGAAAATTGTACAGTTCTACTCATATAAAAATAAGTTATTACCATTAAGATGTGTGTTTCTCATTCTCCTTTACAATTTTAAGCTGTTCCTCTTCACTCACCAAAATAAAATATTCAAACTGACTGCTTCTTATATTAATAATTTGGTAGGCTGACTTGGTCGTGGTCAATCCTTTCTCTTGGCCTATGGTTCCCATTCATGACTGGTACAAAACTTTCCTTGCAGAAAAGTATTGGTGAATTTATAATTTACACGTGTGATCCATTAGGAAAAGAAACACATGAGAACATACAAGCCACAGAATTGATTTTAGTCAATAAACAATTCTTATTTTAACTTTTGCAGTATTTCCAGCCTTGTATATTGCATGCGAACCGAGAATGTTGTCTCCGTGATATGCAATGGCAAGTGGATTATGAAAGATAAGAAGATCTTAAATGTGAATGAGGTATTATCCATCATCTTCTTGTCTCATACTTGTTCCCATTTTCTATTTATTCAGTGGGAGTTGAAAGGCAGATTTACTTCCAGTATCAGATGCTTATGCTTCTTGGTTCATTCAACTGCATCCTTCTTTTATGATAAATGAGTGGGAGACACTGTTTTATATGATCTTGTATTTCCATTATATTTCTAATACTTAGGTTGTGTTTGGAATTGTTATGAAGTGCTATGGCTGTGGGCTTTTCAGTATCTACTATGAGAAAAATTATATTATTGTTTGATAATTGCTTTGAAAAGAGTCCTATACTTTAATATAACCAAAAATTATAAAAAATATCAATTAAAATTAATTTAATCATAATAAATTAGCACTTTCATGAGATGTGTGTGAAAAGCAGTCTACGAAAGCAACCCAAAATGTAACCTTAGACTCTCTAACCCTGGAAATCTTTTCAGCTGCAATTACTGTAGTACATAAAATTCTACACTAAATTGCTGATGGATCTCTGTGAAATTTTAATGTGAACGGTAATAGTATATAATGTAACATCTTCCCTTTTCTAATAATCATGCAAGTTGTGACTTGGCTCTTGGCAGGAGGAAGTAATTTCGGCAGCGAAACAAGCTTCAAGTGAACTTTTGAGGAGAGCAGGCATAAAAATTCCAACCAGGATGAATGTCCTCTGATTCTTTTAGAGAAAAGCTTCTCTTCTTGTTGTCATTAAGCTAAAAGGTATTTTCCTTTACATGGGTGTAGCATTAAAATGGTATCAGATTACTGAATGAAAGAAACACCAACTTCGTTAGATAGACTGATTACTCAAACCTCTCTTCTATTAACAAATGAATAATTTTTCAAACAGAATTATTTTGCATGATGATTACACATTTAATACGTATGGCCAGTTTTTGGAAGGGTTTTCTACTTTAAGCTGAAGTTGGGACCAATGCAGTTTTTTCCAAGAAGTTTCTTTTTTTTTCAGCTTTTAAAGGGCTAAAAGTTTAAGCCACATGTTTATTGTTTTTGCTCTTATACTTTTGAGTTTATTTTTATTAATCTCTAATATTTTATGCTTATTTTTATACGAATTCTTGATTTAGTGTTTCAAAACTGTGGTCAGGTCAACAATGCTTTTGAGCAATGGAATTGTAATAATAATTGTATCAACATTTGTAATTTGCTCATGCGCTTAAGTGAAAGAAATTAATTTCTTCAAATGTAATAATGGTGTCTTTAAGTCCCTAAAAAAGTATTAATTTTAAAATACATAAAATTATTTTAGTATATTTTTTTGACCATTTAAGAAACAATTGAGCTTAGAAAAATGGAAGAGTTAACGTTGCCGTAAGCCCGGAAAAAGTGTTGGACTTGAGCTTTAGAAATAGGAAACTGAATCCAAAACCTCGAACGACACGTATCAGACAATGGATCCGTTCAGACTAGTTTGGAGGTAATAGTCAGTGATTTTATTTAAATTATTAAGGATAAGTATTTAGTAAATTTATTTATTTTAAAGTTATTATAAATTAAATATTTAGTAAAAGTTTTTATGCAGCTATTTGAAA